CGTTCAGCTTCTCCTGTTGAGACACTGGAATTCGTTGCCCAGTACGTAGTTGCTGGGACACCGGTCTCTTAAAGTCAGAAGCGTAAGCCTGGCTCCTCTCCTTCCTCCTCCCCGGCGGGTAAGAAGACTTCGCTTTCTTCCTCGGCCCCTACTTCTGCCTCTATCGCTCCTTCCCCTCCCATTTAATAATAATAATAATAATAATTAATATTTTTTTATTTAGGTAATGTACATACATAGAGATTTTACAAAGTTTGTTGGCTTTAAAGATAGAGCTAGTACATACAATGCCTAAAGCCACTATTACGCAAAGCGTTTCGGGCAGAAACGCTTTGTTTCGGTGGTTACGCCCCCTGTTCCTGCTATGGAGGTTTCTTTGGCCCCCGCTTCCCTCTCGGTTGCTGCCTTTGCTGAGGTGTGCTCCTCTCTTTCTACTCCCCCTCTTCCTGCTGCTGTCCTTGACTGCTCCACTCGGTTGTCTCCTCCTCTTCCTCATCCTCCTCCGGACCCCGCCCGTCCACCTCAGGTCTGTTCTCCCGCTTCCTTCCCTCCGTCTTTGCTCAGTTTACCCATGCCCCCGAACCCTGACTTTGTTGACCTTGATCTTCTTTAACGTGCTATGTTGCTCTTTCGCCTTTGTTTCTTCCTTGTTCTCTGTTGTTGTCCTTTCTCTTCTCGTCGATGTCTATTCTTCAATGGAACGTTCGAGGTTATTACGCTAATTTCCTTGAACTCCAACTTCTGATTTCGCGGTTTTCGCCACTTTGTGTCTGTCTCCAGGAGCCGATGCTTGGTGCTCGTCCTGGTCGCTTTCGTGGCTATTCCTTTCTCTCCCCCCCCCTCCAGCTGTTGCTGGGGCTCCTAATTCTTCTGCTCTCTTGATTCGCACTGATGTTCCCTTTGTCCCCTTACTTTTTCCTTCACCTCTCCATTGTTCTGCTGCTCGTATCTTTGTGGGGAATTGGTACACAGTTTGTTCCATTTATCTCCCCCCGAGTGTCCCCCTTTCTCTTCCTGATCTGAAACACCTACTGGACTCCTTGCCGGAGCCTGTGCTCCTGCTGGGTGATTACAATTGTCGTCATTCCCTTTGGGGTGATGTTCTGATGAACACCCAAGGTCGCCTTCTTGAGCCGTTTATCCTCTCTTCTTCCTTGTCTCTTCTGAATTCTGGTGAGCCCACGCATTTGGACTCTTGGACTCGCACCCTTTCCTGTCTTGATCCTTCTCTTTGCTCGTCTTCTCTTTACTTGGATTTCACGTGACAGGTTCTTGATGACCTCCATTATTGCATTATCATGCAATATAATTAGGGCCAAGCAAAACTTGGTTTTATACTTGCAAGGTTTTAATGGTACACGCAAGTCAGCTTTAGCTGGTGAATTGCTTGTGTTTCACAGCTTACTTTTTGTGAGCGAGGTACCGCCCTCGAGAGTCAAGAAGACACTGTTTACCTGAGCCAGAATTCGTAAACTGTTTACACATCCCCTTAAAATATCTGTACATATTTTCTCAATCATGGCGGCCTTGTTGATATATATTAGTGTTCAGGAGCTTCAAAACTTCACCACCCATGGTTATCGTGCTTCAGAGCTAATGAACTTACATAAAAATTCAAGCAGAGTTGGAATGACTGGGGAAAGATGTACAGGTTTCGTCATTTGTTGTGTAAATGCTTAATGAAATACTGGCCCGGATTCGGAGCCGTTTCTCATTATTCGTCTTTCCTCAGATGGAGGAAGGGCGGCTCCATATAGAGGACACCATAAGCCGACAACAGTAACAATTTTCCACCATCAGAAGGAAATTTTTACCAAGCTCTTCAGCACCCAGCCGTTCTTAGAAGTCAACTCGCAGCAGAATTTCTTGCCTGTTCCTCCTCATACCCCATTGATACCCCAAGAGTTTATGCAGTAAATATTTACTTTGCAAATACTAATATTGTATTCACACAGTGACACCACAATAGCGTGATCAATCTGAGACAATCTTTGGAGCAAAACGGTGTGATCTTACGGTCGTCCTGGGGGTCATTGGTCACATGCACTCTGAGGAGGCTAAGGACGCTGGTTCCATCCTCCTAACCTCGCTCTACGGATTTTCTTATTGACCTCTTAAGGGCCATCTGAAGCCAAAAAGACTAATCAAGGTTTGATTTCCTTTAGATTTATATTTAGATTTTTTATTCAGGTAAAAGTACATACATTGAAGATGAGTTACAAACATAATGTTGGATTTACAGATACAGCTAGTACATAAAATACCTAAAGCCACTAATACCTATAGCGTTTCAGGCAATTTACAATACGACCCGTATTTTTAGGTCGTTTAGAATACGACCCTCTGGTTAAACTCCTTTGTAACCACATTTGGCTACAAAAATAGTTGAAATTTGTGGTGTTGTCTTATGATGAAATACATCCAAATCTTTTCACAATGTATCGATACTTTACTGTAGTCATTAATCATGAACTGTACTCCCAGGGCTGTCATGATTAAGCTTGAAACACAAATGTACTCGAATAGCTGAAGCTATTAATCATGAAACACAGCTCCATAGCCAAAGCTGCACGGTTGAAATTAATGCAACATGTCCTCAGGCCTTGCTTGTTAAAGCGGCAGCCGACCCCCTCCCGTCCCCAAAGACTCGTTCATCGGTTTTATCGAATAGTGTTAAAAAGTTTTTCATATATAAATGAATATTATACATTAGAGTTCAGTGTATTAGGCATATGTTAGATGTTTAGGTTCTGTTGGCGATTATTTGCATTTAAGGTACGTGGGTGAAGCCTATAATAACCCGTCCTCGACTCAAGTCCATTACATCCAGTGGTCGACCCCACAGACGCATTCATAAATTTTTACATACTGTTAATTCAAAATAGAAATTTTCTTAAACATAAATTAATATTATATTAGCATATTGTGCATATATAGGCATAGGTTATGTGTTTAGGTTCTGTTGATTATTTGCATTTGTAGTAAACGGGGGGTTTGGCGGGTGCATGGAATCACTTTTGGGTTATTGTTTGGAGGACGAGCTGCTGTAAACAGCCCGTCCTCCTAACAAAGACCCAAAAGTGATTCCATGCACCCGTCAAACCCCGTTTATAAATGAAAAACGGTTTACACAAGGACTCACAACTGATTTCGCTCGAACACTTCCGGAACAAGTGCTTCACTGACGAATGTAGTTTGAACCACAACGATATAAATGCTTCACCCACGTACTACAAATACAAATAATCGCCAAGGGAACCTAAACACCTAACCTAACCTACGCCTGTAAATGCACAATATGCTATTATAATATTAATTTATATTTAAGAAAATTTTTATTATGAATGAACAGTATGTAAAAATTTATGAATGCATCTGTGGGGTCGACCACTGGATTTAATGGACTTGAGTCGACCCCCTCCCCGCTCAGCTCGTTGATGCCGTGAGGGGGGCTCAGTGGGCGGCTGCCGGAGTGTGATGCTCCTTGGGACAGTCCTCTGTCCTTTACTAGCCTTGTGCTCCTGCTGCCGTCCTCTCCAATTGTGCTGAGCAACTTTTCCTTTTCCTTCTGTTTCGTTTTTCTCCCCCCTCTTCTCCTATCTGCTTGTCGTTTCCTGCCAACCTTTTGCTTGTTTTGGATCTTTCTTTGGACTTCTTCTATTTTGACGCCCGGGTGCTTGAGGAGGCATACTCTTGCACCCGTAGAACTGTAGTACCCAACGTCTCGAGCGAGGGGAACCTTTTATTGGCAATCCCCCTTTCGTCGCTGAACCCGATCTCGACGGACTGACGGTTCTTAAGGTGGCGTTTGTGGGGCGTATGCTCACGACGCACCCCTAGGGGGCCCCGGCATAATCGGCGATAGCTTCCTGTTGGGTGTCCTGCCTCTAATTGTGGCTCCATGGTGGGTATTCGGGCACATTCGTGGATGAATTTCTTTCTCTTCGTCTCTGTCGATAAATGTTTCCGTTGTACCCTCTCAGGCTCGTGGGGTGGGCGACCAAGCCCCCGAGTCGGCCTGTATTGGAAGACCAGGCTCTGTAGCTCCCGCTGCGTTGGGCCCCGACCTTGCTACTCCTTTGACCGTCCTGACTTCTTTCCCCAGCTCCCCTCCCTCCTCTGTGGTTGGGTCGAGCCTCCAGCCCCCAGTGGTGACCACTTCGTCACCTGGTGCGGCTAAGTCTCTCGTTGTGACTATTGCGCCTTTTGACCCCTCTCTCTCTGGGGGTTCTCAACGCCGTTTGCGCCCCGGCCACACTCGCTCGAGTCCTTCCCGTACTGCCGTGTATCAGGCCTTGTTTGGTCCCGCTTCATGGGCCAAATACTTTGATTTCCTCCCTCTTGATTCTGCGCCTCCTGACGATTTCTCCCTCCATCGGCATCTTGTAGATTCCGTGGATGCGTCTGTTACCTTCAACCCCACTCGTCTCGGTACACGTGTCGTTGCTGCTCCTTCTCAGGATGCAGCTTCCCGCTTGGCAGTCTTGTCTTGCCTTGGCGAGATCACTGTTCGGGTCTCCAAGAACGTTCAGATGAATGCCAGTGTTGGCACTATTCTCCTCCCGCCCATGTTGCAACCGGTGTTCGGAATCTGCAGGATTGCCACGATGATATTCGGCATATCCTTGATGCCCAAGGCCATTCTGTCCTCCAGGTTGACTCGTTTACTCGTCCCCCTCGTGGTCGTCGCCGTCAACCCCTTCGTGTTGTGAAGATCACCTTTGATGGTAGGACCCTTCCATCCTCTGTTATTCTTACTGGTGCTAGGTGCTCTGTCCAGGAGTATATTCCTTCTCCTCGGCTTTGTAACAAGTGCTGGAGGTTTGGGCATGGTGCCCTCCGCTGCTCTGGGACTGTCTCTCTCTGTCCTTTGTGTGGGGGTGAAGGTCACTGTAAGTCGGAGTACACTTCTCCCCAAGCTCGTTGCCTCAACTGAGGTGAGGCCCATCCTACCTTCTCCCGTGCCTGTATCCATTACAAGCTTGAGGCAGCCGTCCTCAACCTGAAGCACCGGGAGCGTTTATCTTTTCCTGAGGCGAGGCGCCAGGTTCGCCGGCTCCCGCCTTATACTAACATCTCTTATGCTCGCGTGTTGCGCTCTTCCTCTCCTCGTCCTTCCCTTCTTCCTCAGACTCTCAACCGTTTCCGGGCCTTGGACCCTGATACGCCCACTGCCCCCTCCTCTGTTCCTTTGAGTTCTGTCCCGAAGGGTCCCCCCTCCTGGTCCTCTGTCTGGGGTTCCCCTTCTTTCTACCCGGTCTGTCGTGTCTCCTGTGTCTTCTTCCTCATCTCCCTCCGATCCTCCTTCCCATCCTCTTCCTCCATCTATTGGCTCTCCCCGCCGCCTGTCGGTGCAGGCGGATGTCCATCGCTCTCTTAACGGCCGTCTTGTGTGCTCTAGTTCAGCTTCTCCTGTTGAGACACTGGAATTCGTTGCCCAGTACGTAGTTGCTGGGACACCGGTCTCTTTAAGTCAGAAGCGTAAGCCTGGCTCCTCTCCTTCCTCCTCCCCGGCAGGTAAGAAGGCTTCGCTTTCTTCCTCGGCCCCTATTTCTGGCTCTGTTGCTCCTTCCCCTCCCATTTCTGTGCTTGCGCCCCCTGTTCCTGCTATGGAGGTTTCTTTGGCCCCTGCTTCCCTTTGGGTTGCTGCTCTTGCTGAGGTGCGCTCCCCTCTTTCTACTCCCCCTCTTCCTGCTGCGGTCCTTGACTGCTCTTCTCAGTTGTCTCCTCCTCTTCCTCCTCCTCCGGACCCCGCCCGCCCACCTCTGGTCTGTTCTCCCGCCTCCTTCCCTCCGTCTTTGCTCAGTTTACCCATGCCCCCTAACCCTGACTTTGCTGACCCTGATCCCGACCCTGATCTTCTTTAACGTGCTGTGTTGCTCTTTCGCCTTTGTTTCTTCCTTGTTCTCTGTTGTTGTCCTTTCCCTTCTCGTCGATGTCTATTCTTCAATGGAACGTTCGAGGTTATTACGCCAATTTCCTCGAACTCCAACTTCTGATTTCGCGGTTTTCGCCCATTTATGTCTGTCTCCAGGAACCGATGCTTGGTGCTCGTCCTGGTCGTTTTCGTGGCTATTCCTTTCTCACCCCCCCCCCTCTCCAGCCGTTGCTGGGGCTCGTAATTCTTCTGCTCTCTTGATCGGCGCTGATGTTCCCTTTGTTCCTTTACTTTTTCCTTTGCCTCTCCATTGTTCTGCTGCTCGTATCTTTGTGGGGAAATGGTACACAGTTTGTTCCATTTATCTCCCCCCGAGTGTCCTGCTTTCTCTTCCTGATTTGAAACACCTCTTGGACTCCTTGCCGGAGCCTGTGCTCCTGCTGGGTGACTTCAATTGTCGTCATTCTCTTTGGGGTGATGTTCTGACGAATACCCGGGGTCGCCTTCTTGAGCCGTTTCTACTCTCTTCTTCCGTCTCTTCTGAATTCTGGTGCGCCCACTCATTTGGACTCTCGGACTCGCACCCTTTCCTGTCTTGATCTTTCTCTCTGCTCTTCTTCTCTTTACTTAGATTTCACGTGGCAGGTTCTTGATGGTCTCCATGGCAGTGATCATTTCCCTATCCTTGTTTCCTTTTTCTCGTTTCGCCCTTCCCTCTCTTTTCCTAGGTGGCAGTTTGCTAAAGCGGACTGGAACCTATTTACCCTCAGTGCTGCTCTCTCTGACCTCTCCCTTCTACCTCTCCCTCGCGCTCTCCTCCTTTTTCATGACACTGTCTTCAACGCTGCCCTCCGCTCTATTTCTCGCTCTTCCTCTCGGGGTCCACGGAAGTGCGTTCCCTGGTGGAATGCGGACTGTGCTCGGGTTGTCCGCTGTAAGCGTGCAGCCTGAAAGAGGCACCGCTGTCGGCAGACGACCGATTCTTTTCTTTTCTTTCGGAAAGCGAGTGCGATGGCTTGTAGGGCCATCCGTATGGCTTAACGTGAATGTTGGACTAATTA